TTAAGTATAATGGATATCAGTAAAATTATTGCATAAATTATTTAAGGAAAAAATCTTGAAGATTATATTTGGATAGTAAATATAAATATGCAAGCATTTAATGCATATAGTAAAAAATTTCTAAATAAAGTATGCAATAAATGTGTGTTGACTTTTCTTGTTACTGTTTTTGGTAAATAGGTTGGCTTTTAATATATATATATATAGATATAGATAAATAAAAGTCTAATTACTACTATAAATCCATTATCTATTTAGATTTTTTAAAAATCTAAATTTCACCCGTCTAATTACTAATATTTTAGATACTTTTAAATACTTTATTTGTATAAATTTTTTTACACATTTGTTCTCTCTATATATATACATATATGGAGGTTAAATGGAAAATTTTAGACATATTTTCCTTACGGATAGTTTAGAAAAATTTAGGTAGCTTCAAACATTATTTGTGAATAATATACAATATTTTAGATGCTTTTATAGATGTTATAAAATATTTTAAGTATTTTTAATATTTATATATCACCTTAAAAAGAATAATTTGCCGAAATAAAAACATTAAATACACATTGTAAATGTTAATGGAAACATTTTTTCAGTGTTCGTCTTTGATTTTGTCAAAACAAATCTCATAAAATCGGTGAAGTCAAAATTTGTACGTAAAGTCTATCTATACTAAAAAAAAATGTAGATTCAAAATTCTTTATCTAATTTCTTCTTTTCCTTATCTAATTCCTTCTCATTATCTAATTGTACAGAAATCTGTTCTGATTTTGTTCAATCCTCTAATTGTATTTGTTTTATATCCTATCAAATCGGTTTAACAAAAAAATCTCATAACATCCGATAAATAAAAAAAAGTACGTAAAATCTTTACTAAATAAAAAAGATTTATTTATTATCTAATTTATTATCTAATTGTATAGAAATATGTTCTGATTTTATAGTACGTACTACAAATTGTGCACCCGTGTTCAGGAGCTACTTAACGGGCAAGCTCTGTGGAAATAACTCATTTAGTGCTTCTGTCCCGTGCATACGGTATGTATTTGTATTACACATACTAGAAAATTGTGCACCCCGTGCATCGCACGGACTCTGTACTAATAAAGGACCTTAAAATTGTGCACCCCGTGCATCACCCGTGTTCACATTTTGGCCTATTACAGGTCACTATTATATATATCCCGTACATTTTTCTTTATTCATTTACATAATTATAAGACTTGATAAATGACCTTAATTTTGTGCACCCCGTGCATCGCACGGGATCTGTACTAGTAAGTTATAACAACTAATATAATATAACACATGTAAGTTATAAGTAACACATATCATTCTAAAATATATAGTAATATATTTTTTTTTTGTAAAAAAGTAAACTACATTTAATATAGTCTTCTCATTAATTTTAAAATTTAAGAAAAAAAATTTAACAAGCACCCGTGTAATACACGGGTGTTGTACTAGTTAGTCATAAACCAAAAAATAATGCAATTTAAAAATCAGTGACAAAAATAAACCATTCACAAACTACAAAAGTTAGTATATTTGAAATAAAAATAAATATTTTGTAAACATAAAAATAAAGTTCCTCCCTATATATTAATGTAAAATGTCCCCATCCTACATGTCGATTATTGGTGTTTCGTAATCTATTTGTCGGATTTGGTAATCCTATATTTTTGTTTTGGAGTAATACAAGTAGACGTGAACGTATATCCATGCCTATCAAGACAGAACTTAAATTACAAATATATTTAAAAACTAATAATTTCTGTATTTTTTATCAAATATATATATATATATATATATATATATATATATATAGTTATTTTTTGACGATCTTGAATTTTATATTCATATTGCATATAAAAAGATAAAATATATTTTTTATTACAAAAATTAAATCATATTAACACTACTAAAAAATGAATCTATACATTATCAATTCATAAAGTCATATTAATTCACGACATTTTAATTAAAAAAATATTATAATATAAGTAGGACAAATTGTATAAGCGAAAAATCTCATTGTAAATATAAATAGTAAAATATTTTTTAAAAAAGTATTTAAAAAATAAATAAACAAACTATTTTATATTAAGAATATCATTACAAATCTTTTTACTAGCACTCGTATAATCCTGAGTGCTGTACTAATAAGACGTAAAAATAAATGGTGTAATTTTCTCTTGATTTTCTGCTTTAACAATCTTTCCCGCATGAAGGTTCATACTCATACTAGCTACTCATTTTGTAACTTTCACGTTTGCAACATTCTCCGAACAGACACACATCAGCTTCAATAAAATATTCTCAGAATATGAAATAAAAATCTCTCAGCTATTACTTTTGCATCAGTCGGCTAAATTTTCAGCTTGAATTATATCAAATAGACGTTACATTGGCCGACCTCTTTCTCCATCGTGGGCAAACCCCATTGTTTTCTAAAGTTCTTACAAAGATTCGACAATTCCATGCAATAAAATTGTTTGGTGAATCTTTTTCAGAGGGCGAGCCTAATAAATTCGATTTGGAGCAATCCGAAACACTCTCACCTATTCATTAGTCCAAGGCAGAGTCCAAGAGCTAGCAAGCAAATAACAATCTTCTATGAGACTGAAGGGCCAAAATAGTTACACTCTGCACAAAAAACCATAACATTCTTTCTGGAGAACTATAGAGATGCACCATTAGCAGGAATATCATTTGCCTGTCTTGCAGCTATGACTCTGTCAATGGTTTCATCAGAGACTTTGATCCCACTCGTCTCCAAGTCCGCTACAATGGCAATGGACGCATCAAGTTCCCCGAGATCAAGGCACAGGCTGATGATCTCCTCGTACAATGGGCTGCAAATAGGTACAAAATTAACAATTTAACAATTAGGGCGTGCTTGGATACAAATATATCCGCTCAAAATGAGTATTTTCGGATAAGCAAAGTTGATTTTGAAAAGAGATGGTATAATTAGTTGTTAGTAGGATTTTAAGTTTATATTAAAATAATATTTAAATTGAATAATTAAAGTTGAGTCGATGTAAAAGTAGGAGAGAGATGATGTGTAGTGATGATTAGTTAAAATTATGTGAGTGGATGAATAGTAAATTAAAGTTGATGTAATGTGTAAGAATGATTGATTGGTATTATTTAATCATATTGATAATATATTGATAATACTGATGATAGTGAGGTTGTATTGTAGTTGACTTAGATTTTGAGTATGAATTGAGTTTTTTTAATAAACAAACACACCCTTAGAATCTGATGATGAGATCTGGAGATGAAGTACTGCCTCAATAGCAAAGCAAATATTTAGCCAAAAGTCAATAAGATTGCCAGGTAAGATGATTAGGAGCTTAATAGCTCGCCAGAAATGCTGGTAAATATTAAAAAGGAAAAGATTTTTTACCAACTTAATAGGTTGTGTTTTCATTATTGACAAATTGCAGGCTCGATTATCTTTTTAAGTCACTTCCAAGGTATGGTTACAAATGGTTTTCAACACTTCGTGTGATATCTGAAATTTTAAAATTATAACTGCGATCTTCTATAGGCGTTTACCTGCCGAAAACATATCCAAGTCTATGTGTAGTGTGCAAAATCTGGAGGAAGGCTGAGGGCATAGGAGCTCGTATAGCAGCTCGAAGTACCATGGCACAATCCCCAATAGTTGGTGTTCCACCCAAGTCGATTACCTGAAATATTATCACTCAGCAATAATTTCATATGAAACAGAAGGAAAGAGAGATCCTCATGTCGATAATTTAAGAGAGTAAAAAGCGGCATCATTTGGATGAATAAAGCTGTCTTTCAGGAAGAATTCATCAACTTCATGTGAATAGAATGATTTAGTGTAAAACACAACTATCAAATAAGGAGAGCACAAAAGCGAAAGTTTTGATGAGAAAACTCACAAGTTTCATAAACCTGCTGAGACACTGTATTAGCTTGTGATAAAACAGTGCTCACACCAAATATCAAACTTTTACTTGTCCCACCTAACAGAAATCCACAGAACATATGAACTGTACACAAGCGCCTCGTTTACTTAAGCTGATTGGATATGATATGGTCGGATAAGTCTTGTTATCCAACGTTTGCTAACCATATGATGAGATTGGATGATAAGCTTTCCACACTTTTATCCTGTCTTGGCGGATTAGTTTGTCCGGTCTTGAGGGTGGGACAATTTAATCCCACCTTATAAATGACCATTTTGTCCAAAAAATTGGCATGTGAATTGTCCCTTTTACCATAGAAGTCCACCAAATTACAGATTTAGGCCATATAAAATTGTCCTATGGGTCCCACACTTTTACCTCATATTTTGCTTTTTATCCTGTCATTTTTTATCCAGGTTCGTAATTGCTTGATTGTTTTGTTTTGTAAACATTGGACACAAGCTGATGTGTAAAGTTGATGGGATTAAACTGTCTAATCCCATCATTTTAAGTAAACGAGGCCAAGGGATATTAAACAAGTCGATTAGAAGAAAAAGGCCTTTATCCTAAAAGAAAAAGGAAAAATGAATACCAAAGTTGAAAGACATATATTATTTACCTTTGTCATCACTTTAACAGCCAATTCAACTTCCCACTCCTGTGACCATCTTCTAGGAGCTTTGTTCTTCAAATCCTTCTCCCATGTCCAGCCCCAAGCATCAGCTATTGTATACATGTCTGACACATCAAATATTTTCCTGTTTCTCAATTCCTTGAATGCTTCCTGCATGTCCTCGGGGAACCAATCTTCATCATCGTCATTCTGCATATTTATTTATGATATCTTAGAACTGAAAAAATTCAGGATGTTATAACAGATATTAAAAAATATTGACATCCCAAATTGGTAAGTATCCAAGTGAGCATGAAAAAAGCACAGAAGGCCAAATTCTCTAATGAAAACCGAGGTTACGGAACCAGCTGTCATTCTCGATATTCCTCCATTACATATTTCTTCCTCTTCAATACTCAATCAGAAAATCCTTAAAAACCTAGCGTCAGATGTCCAAAAAGATAATGTTACTAAATCACAAAGTCTCTACATTCAGCAGCTTATAGATCAAGTTACCATTATAAAGACATGATTTGGATCATATTATCTATGCAGTGTGACAATGTTGGTAGCATATATTTTGGTGTTTAGGGTTTTTCGGGGAAGTGCATCGGGATAATTTATTCATAATTGTCATGCATTAGCATGAGTTGAAAAATCATATAATTTGGATGAGAAGGAGTTTATAATGAAAATAGTTTGAGACACACGATGCATAGCCTCTGTTTTTCAGTAAAATACGCTCACCACAAGTCAGTAAACCAGTAGAACGGTAAAATAAAAGGCCTTATTAAAAATAGAAGCAGTCAGTGACTCGTATAGCACAGAAAAAGGTGTAAATGGCACCAATGATGAAACTTGGTGATTTCCCACAGCAAAACAAGCAGAAATTTAAAACATAGATGTTTTAGTATTCAATACAGGGAAAATAGATCTTTAAAGAGAGAAACTATTTTCTGGATGAAGAACAATTCCATATGATTAAATAAGTTTGTCGACAAATAACCTTGTGCTGCTATGGAAACAGCCATCGAAATGAAAAACTTAGATTATATTCAAACAAGGGATTCAGGTAGCAATCTCTCTGCTCATTTTTTCTTCTGACCCTATAGCATATGGTTTCTTTTTTTAATAATAAGGAACAAAATAGCAGGTAACCAGAAGTTTACAAAAAGATTGTTTGACAAGCTGATGTGGGAAAAAGTATGAAGTTAGGTTATTTAACTAACCGAAGAAGGACATACATGAGAGAACACTGACTTTCAAAGGCATTGAACAGCAATAGAAGGCGTGTGAATGCGCGTGCTACTGCCATTTAGTTTACTTATAGGGAATTGGTTACTTGTGTACTTCTAGGTTTGATATACCTAGAGACATGCACAAAATGATTTCGTGTTATACCTCCATGGATGCCCGAGACTTTTTCTTTGATTTCCTTGCTGACCCACTCCTCTGATCAGAGTCGTTCAACAACTGCACTCCAATCATTTGAAGAGGTTTGTCAGCTTCAACTTCCTTATCCTTAACTTGGGGGCCCACTTGGATTTCAGTTTGTTCGACTTCCTCTTGTTCATCGACCTCATCATCTTCAGTCTCTTTGACTGCATCATCACTCATATCACCATCGTCGGTGATGTCAGTAATGCCATCTTCTTTGACGTCTAACAACTTGCTGTGATTTTCATTCAGGTCCTCTCCTAGAAAGCGACGTCTCCAGAACTCTGTGTTACCTTCTTGCAACTTAATTCGTGAAATTAGTTCATCCAACTCTTCATCAACCTGTATACAACAAATTTTCTTTGATATGACACAAAGTTCAATTTTTAAAGCACTTGGTTGTATAAAGAGGGTTGAGAATATGACTGTCCGAGCATCCAATTGCATGAAGCATGCACTGGACAAAGCACAAGTTTTGACAAGAAAAAGCAATAAATGAATATCAAATTCACCTCCTCTTCTTCCTCTTCCACAGGAGGAATCCAAAGGGGTCGACCTCTAGAACGGTTTATTCTCCTAGCTTTCTGTACACGCTGGTAAAGAACATTTCTGGTGCCATCAGTTGGCAAACCTTGAGCTTCCAGCTCCTCCCTTAGCTCCGATACAACCATTTTACTAGCAGCTTTTGGTTTTAAGGAATTTCGTTTAGGACCTTTAATGATTTTCTTCAATCTCTCCTCAACTCTGATGTAGTCAGACTCCGAAACATTCCCCAAGACAGAAGGCCCTTCATTCCGTAGCATTCTCAAGAGTTTCCGGTGATGTATTTTCCATTCTTCAAGACAACGTTGTTTGAAAGAGGTTTCCATAGGATTGGAATATATGAAACCTTCAGCATCAGGATCTAATGGAGTTTTTCCTCTACGTGGAACCCATCTCTTGCGCTCACCTGTAAGCCCACCTTCTGCAATGTACCTGTTTTCTCCACAAAGTCGATCACAGTTCTAAAAGTAGTTAAAGATGAATCATAATACTTCAATTACACTACTTGATCTGATGTCCTCGTCTAGGTATACAGGAAGGAAAACAATCCCAGAGTAAAGAATGTGCAGTCAGAAAAACAGAACTCCTAAGAAATAGTGAATAGCAACATAACATTTTATCTATTATTTTCAATTTTGCGCAAGAGTAAATAGTGAATCTCCCATATTAATAAACAAAAAAATCAAAATTTACACTAATGACAAGTTTGAAACAGTTATTTTCTTTCATACACCCCAAGGATTTTTAATCCATAAAAGACTTAAACTACATGCTCAGGCAACTATTGCCCTGTTCCTCTCTTTTCTCCCTACCACTCTTATTTTGCTTGATATCTGGACCTCCCTTGTCCTAGAAGTGCTGTGATAATAGTACATAACTGATGATGATAATAATTGATCAGAAAGAACTTAAGGAAAAATCAAAAGAATCAATTTACAACTCCCATCTCAATTAAGTTTAGCAATTCATTCCAATTTATCATGCCTGATGGGTAACTTCATTAGCACCCACGCTGGAACAGATCAATGGAAATCAAATAATATGTTGATGGAATTTCTTATGGCAGCCATCAATTTCTCTACTTCAGAATCAATTCAAGTGGTGATATACAAACTCGTGAAGTCACCTATATAGCATTGCAAACGACGAAGGAATTGGAACTACATATAAATTATGATGCTTTTATACTTGAAATGAATGAAACCTGGCAATGTAATCGATGTCATGCCCAACTTCAGCTTCTTCCTGCAAAGGTTCAATCCACGAGCTAACTAGTGTCCGATACTTCCTGCTCATTATCATGGCTCTGGGAGGGATTTGTTGGTTATCTTTCGCCATAGTTTCAAGAGCTTCTAGTAACTCAACAATTCTTCCTGATTCCAAATGTAATTTAGAAGTTAGAAAAGGTTTATTGATGACTATTCAAAATATGATTGGAAGCATCACGAAACAGAATATGCCAGATTACTTTTTGTTGAAGTTGAAGTTCAAGGTGTTCATTTCCCATCCTTTTTCATAATTCTGTAAGTTTGTTAGCCATTTATGTTTTTACTTTTGCTTTATTTCATGAAGACACACTTTTGTCAAAGCGTTTTAGCTTTGTTTTGCTGTAGTCAATACAGTATCGTATGCACTTACCAATAAGACGCCACTTTATTCTGCATACACGTTGCATGCAAACTTGTATATATAGGGTCCATGTACATATGGAACGAATAATCTTTCCAGCTTAGAAATATACATGAAAATGGAGGTTTTCCTTCCCAAATTAAACATCACCAACTGTAGAGGACCTACTACTGGATAATACTCACCAACGCAGGGAAAATATTTTATCATCTTCCAAATGGTTCACTAAATAATGTTTTTCTCCAAGACTTGTCTATTGTATTGATAAGATCCTTATAAAACATTCTGTTATTAACTATTATACTAGTATGACACTGTTAATCTAACCCAGTTCATTTATGAACTCAAAATATAATGGCTAATCATGATCAGGTACATGACTGATCTATAAGTTTCTGAGGTATCACACTTGTTGACTTATTAGACAATAAACCATATGTTTTATTGACTGCGAACAACAACTTACTAGATATAGACACATCATAAACACGGGTCTTCCTACATTTATTTTATTTTTAATCTCCACCACTCATTTTAGATACAAAACAAAAAGAAATCAACGCTCTTCTACTTACCTGTCCAGAGGCACCCTGCTTTCTATGCCGTTACATTTACTTTATTTTTAATCTCCACCACTAATTTCAGATACAAAACAAAAAGAATCAAAGCACTTGTACCCCTTCATTGTACCTTGTTAAACACGATTTTATTTTTTTAAAAAAAATCAATACATTCATTAACAATTATAAAGGGACTACCATAACCATATGAAAATTATAATCACTGATAAAAAAAATTGGCTTTAATTATGCATCCATAGAACGGTCCTATTAACATCGCAAGCTTGAAATTAGCGAGTCAGTATAATCTTGACCGACACATAAATCACCTATCCCAGTTGAATAACTTACAGGTCTATGTAACATTATTAAAGATAATACACGCTAATTTTCAGAGGCAGGCATGCAAAAGAGAGAAGAATTAGAAAGCTGAGAAAGTGGGAGATTAAAACCTTCTCGACACAAAGCACGGAGATATAAAGACAGTGGATCACCATCCTGCCCCTTATTATATAAAACTATGGTTCCACCTTCATATCTTTTAAGTGCACGAAAATGTCGAATGGCTTCTCTTGTAACGCAATACTTCGTAAAACACTCCACCAACAACCTAAAAGAAAGAAAAGACTTATTTTGCACAAGTTTATGACCAGATGAACATATTCATGAGATGAGAACCACTATACCAGTGCTTTGAATGGGATCTCAGTTGCATACAAGTCAAAACCATCAGACATAAATTTCAGAATAGAACAGGAAAATAAATAACTCATTTGTTAATAACTCAATTTTCATTTGTTTACTTAGTATCCGCAAGATACTTGCGGTTCTCCCAAAATTGCACTTTTGAAGTGGAAATATTAGGCTCATATAATACAACGAGTATATAAAACTGTAGAAGGACTTCCGGAAAGAGAATGTTATCCCAAAATTAGATTAAGAATGACAAAGGAAAGGCTGCTGGAGTCTTAATACTTCTACCTCATAGTGGGAGCAACATACTAATTAGCTCCTGGACGAAGGTGAACACATAAAATCTCAATGCTCAATAAACAATGGAAAAATTACGCCAACATGAAGCTTACTCGTCTGTAATGAATTCTAAAAGACCACAAATGCTTACGCGTAGGTTCTCACATTTGGTTGCAAACGTTTGTAGTCTTCAACCATCATCCCAAGTAACTCCGCAACATCTTGAACCCTATATTATGACATAGAATTTTGAAATCCTTTGCTTTATCAAAAAGAAATAAGAAGGAACTTAATCATCAATAACTCAGTAAATACTCAAAAGATGATTAGAAGCACGACAACACATCACTACCAACACCAACACAACCACCATTCAAAAGAGAGAGAGAGAGAGAGAGAGAGAGAGAGAGAGAGAGAGAGAGAGGGAGAGTGGTGTACCAAAGTAACAAAGAAATTATATGGAAAATACTAACAATCAATATTTAAAAAAGTAATAAATAAATAAATAAATAAGGGCAGGGTAAGATGAGTTTTCCTTAACGATATTGAGTCAACCAAAAAGCTGAAATCTATGTAGGAGTCTTCTAATTCACAGTTTAACAGCAAATCTGCATTCTTCTGTAGCCTTGACACTATTTTTGGTACTGAGTTTCAAAAGGGTGCTGCTTCTGGTCCCTTCTCATATTACAATACAACATGCATTGCAGCATATTTATGTTTAAACAAGAACCAGTACTAAACAGATATTACCAATTTCCAGGGACAAAAAACAGATACAAGTTCAAGATTTTCAAATGTCATTTAAATTTGAAGCTATTGTGCAGAGAAGAAGCCATAAGTGCAGAGAGGTCAACTCTAATATAACCCAACAAGTATAATCATCTTTTCCTTTCCATTACCCCTCAGAAACAAAGGAATGTAGTCACTAAGTTTCTTACTCTATTTTCTCCAAAAACATGTCATCTCTGTTTTTACAGACATTTATAAACCTAGTAGCATTAGGATGCAGTCACAAGCATGTCAAATGAAGGATATAACTCAAAACTAAACAAAGTGACAATGAATACGAGTCAAATCAACCACGTTTACCTAGGTTGTAAGGGAAAAAATTGGAAGCAAAAGATAATGATTCAGTACAGAAAGCACACCACGCCAACATCTAAAATGTGCTTGCTCGATGATAGCTTTTCTAAGATGAATGCCTACATCCAGTAACCAGTGGGTCTTAATTTATCAAGTTGAAGAAGAAGCTCATCTATATAGTAGCATTTCAACTTTGATTGCAGTGTCCGCTTCCCAACAGATAAATCTAGCATGGAAGATCAACAGATAGGACTGATCTTTTGTATGTCAAGAAAGTTGGTGATATTGGTCAAGGAATACACAACGAGAGACAGTCTATAGGAATATTTACAAGTACTATGCACGAACTACCGCAGGAATTTTTTATGTTGAACAATCACATCATGAAAAAACAGAACATGCATGTTGTAGCGTAGCACCATAACCATCAGAAGAGAAAGAAATGGTAGTCACACACCTGTCATAGGATTCAGCTCTTGTATACGCTTGTATCACCCAATTATATGTCTCCGTGTCAGGTTTCATATAAGCTAAAACAACCCCAACCATAAGGAACGTATTAATACAATGAATGCAGTGAGCAGGATTCTTTTTTCTCTGTAAGATAAGATGATGATTATTAATAGAAGCGATTAGGTTTAATAAGTCCAACCAATGCAGCCACTGAACAGAGCAGGTCTGTTTCAACTAAGAAGCTATGTGATACAAAAGAGGATGAGTACAAGATAACAAGAGCGCAGATATTATCCAAAGGAAAAGGTCGCTTCACCTATAACCGATAGGTCATGGGTTCGAGTCACCGAGGAGGGGAAGTGGGAACACTATTGATCCTCCTTTTAAAAAAAAGAAAAAAAAAAGGAAAAGGTTTCCAAGAGCATGAAGAGATTGTTATCAAAAGTATTTCCATCTTCTTATTTAATATATCATAATCTCCTACTCAGCTTTAGTTGAACAATGAAGATGCATGATAAAAAATCAAACACATGAACATAAGAAGGCACTAGAAAAAAAAAAAAACAAAAAAAAAAAGAAAGAAACAACAGAAGTTACATAATAAAAAAATACACTAAGCTCATGTAGAGAAAAACAAATGAACGGACCTTCTCCATATTCCATGTTCTCGAAGGTGGAAAAGGCAATTTCAGGAATCCCACATGTAGCCTGTCCATGTTGAGAAAATAATACTTTTAAGTTTTAACATCATTTGACTAACAGTAAGTGTAATCACATTCCTCATACCATCCCTCTTTGCATCAGTGAACGAAATAAAGCCTAGATAATTGAGAAGTTATAGTCCTTTAACCAAGTAACAGCCCGAGGAATTCCAACAGTGTAACAAACAGAAAAAACTCCAAAATAATTCTCTTTTCAACAGAAAATTATCAAGTGTTCTTTAGTTTTAATTAAGTAGTTTACGACACAACTTTCCAGAACCAGTTAGGAGTTCCCCTCATCACTCCATAAGATGGGGAAGAGCACCCAAATCCCAAATAAACCTCAAGACACATCTCATTTACATACTCTGTAACAATCAAATGAGATTTTCCTTTGTATAGACATGTAGATGTAACATGAAACCGGGAACCAAAGATGGTCTGAATGGAGAGCTGATTGTTTCAATTTCTAGCAGGTAGGTAAATATTAATTACAAATAATAAAATCAAAACAGAAATATTACATCTACTATCTCTGAAAGAGACATTTTCCATTCCATCTCTTAAATATATCTAAACAGGAACACCAATACCTGCACACTCAAAAGGCAATTGAAGTGAAATGTAGTTGCCATTCTACCAGCTGCCTCCATTTCATATGCTATGGTCAATGCATTTGAGTGATCTCCAACTTTACAATCCTCTTCAATTAGAAGATCATAAAGCTCATCCGTAGCTTTGAGACCACCTCCAGAACCCTTCAGGAAAACTCTATTGGCATCTTCGAGATGATTGCATTTCACAAGCTCCTCTAATGTCAAGAACAATAATGAATTACATGCTGAAACTCATAAGACTTGGATTAAGTGCATAAAATCTGCTAGTCAATCAATAAGCTTGTACACTGTACCAACAAGAAGCAGCCAAGCTTGCCGAATGTCATAGTTGAGTTTCTCCATTGCTGCGAGAATTTCTAGTCCTCTAGTAGCATGACCTTTTGTGCCAAATAAACGAATTAATGCAACAAATGTTTCGTGAAGTGGCCGAAGACCCTCACTCAGTTCCCTTTTAAGAGCATGCATCTGTTATACACGAGTGTTTTAATATATGGTTATCAATTCTAATAGACGATGGATTGTCTTGTATCTTGATTCTTGAGTATAAATTTACTACCACTGAAGATGAAACTACGAAAAGCAGTCAGCAAATAGAGTATGCTTATCAAGCACAATGCAGCTTGATTATAATTTCTAGAATATATGTTTTTAATAAATATTGACCTGACGTGAGCACTAATTCTTCAGGTCAGACTTGGCCTAATCTCCTGCTCAAATGACAATAATTTATTTTCTTTTACACATTAAACATCGCTGTGCATTGTACTGCCCAGTTAGATTCGAGCTCAAGCTTGTCAGAAGCTCATTGGTTCACAAGATATACTAACCAAAATGGAGCTCCCACTAGAAGAAATCATGTTCATTTACTGCACAGTTTGAACTTGAGCTGAATCATAATAGGCTCACTGTCCTGACGAGCAGCCTAGATTAACAAGCTAACCTTGAGCTCCTATGCTGAACTAGAGACATTTTAAATTAAGCTCGATCTCACACCTCAGTTTATAGACCTAACACTTTGTCCGATGATAACGCGCATAGCATGATTGCTAAAGCAGGCAACTTCATGCCTCCAAACAGATACATTTTGTGCAATATACAATATTTACAAAGACACGCTCCAACCTAGAATGCAATTATGCAAAAAGCTCCGAATACAGAAGCATTCATCTTACAGCGCCTTCTCCATCTCGATTCAGCACGTGAGCAACAACAAGACCATGAAACGACCTGGGCCCAGGCGTCAGCCCCGCCGCAATCATATCATAGATGACATCGGACACTCCCGAAACGCTGCCGTTCCTGGCTCGCTCCATCAGCGCCTCCATGAATACCAGCCTCAGAAGCTTCTCGGCATTTGAGGGCGTGAAATTCGAATCGGCGCTTCCGGAATATCCAAGGTCCTCGGGTGATTTCAGGTCGCTCTGTTTCTTTTTCCGCCGCGGTTTTCTTTGAGGAGTGGAAATTGAAGCGGACGTTGCTGCCGCGGATGTGATGAAGTTGCGAGGAGCAGAGGTTGAGGAGATTGAGAAGGGAGTGTAGATTAGCATGGAGGTCGCCATTGTTGTCGGGGGAAGTAGATAAGGGAGTGAGTGGGCAGTTTTTTGACAGTTTCGACAAGGGATGGGTTTAAGGAAACGGACCGGGGTTTCAAATTCGGAAATTCGCCATCTTCCGGTCTGCCAACCGGTAAGTGCATGTTTGGATATGGATTTTAAAAAAATAAAATGAAATTATTTTTAAATCAATTGTTTTTTTAACTCAATCTCACTCATCTCGATATTATCAACAATATTAGTACAATACTCATGTACTACATGAATATTTGTTAAAAAATATATATTATTATTTACATATAAAATAACGNNNAAGTGTGGAACAAAATAAAATACACGTATTCAAGGAATACGTTTTTTACATAAATTATTTCGAAGACGTATTCCTTGAACACGTCTTATATAAATTTTGCAATCAAAACGTATTCCTTGAATACGTATTCCTTAATTATCTTAATTAAGTTAATTAATCAACTTTATAACGTATTTTATAAATACGTTTTCAATTTTTTTTTTTAATTGTATTAAAATATGAAGACGTATTTGTTAAATACGTTTCCGTTTTCGCTTTTTTCTTTTATTTTTTTTAAATAATTAAACCGTATTTATGAAATACGTTTTAAATTGTTTCATATTATTTAAATTTAATTTAAAAAGAAAACGTATTTATTAAATACGTTTTTATAAGAAAAAAATTGAAAAAACTTGTTAAAATTCAAATTGTACCCAAAAATCAAATATACATGTTCGAGCAACTAATATCAACATATCTGCCCAATAATAATCCAACATACACTATAACAAAACAAATGAAAAAACACAATAATTTGTTAA